GGTTTTTTTAAATCCAAAATAAAATGCATAGATCAATGCACTTTGAAAGCAACGTTTATTTGCTTTGCAAAGTTATTTGAAATGTAATTAACATCTATCTAAGTCTAATGTTGTTTGTTAAAAATAAGTGAGAGCTAAGTCAAGTACGTAAAGTCACTCCCTGCTTATATAAAGAGAAAACAAATTGATGAATTATTTCCCTTTAACATCTCGCGGGTCGCACAGAGGGTTTCACGAGGAAAACAATAAATTCGATGTTGTAGCGGAGGGGGGTTATTCGCCATTTTGAATACCCGGCATCCGTAGTTTAAAAATGTATTAAATTTTAGTAAAAATCCATTGTTACTACTTTTTGTTATTGTGTTATTATACTATATAAAACACTTTTTAAACCGGTTTTACTGCAAAACTGAACTACGTTATTACCCTTTGCCATTTGCAATAGCTTTGTGAGGTTGCCCCTTCTTGCGGGTCGTTTGATGATTCATGGAACGGCTGTCAACACAAACCGCGACACAAGATCCAAACGCGTGCATAGCACTTTGCTATCAGCTAAACCAACCCCTAAATGGTAAAGTTAATTCTTTGTATGCCTATTACTAATCGACTTAGATCTACCCGAATCGTATACCGCTAAAACTAAGCACACAATATAAATTTGTGATATTATTAACAACAAGATCTAGATCTAGACTAGATCTAGATCTAGATTTTTTTAAAGCTCTTTCTTTACTTTACTTCTTTACTATTTACTTTCTGATACCCCCCCCCCCATCTCGCCAGTGCCAGTGGTAGAGCTTGATTATACTTATTTTATACTAAGTATAGTAGATCTAGTTCTAGATCTAGTAGTAATAGTAAAACACATTAAATTAATATCTACAGCCTACATAGCTATTCCCTAAATTAAATCTAGATCTACCCTATCAATCATACTTAATAATACTTATACTAAATAACTAAACTAAATAGGGGTCTACTTGACTTAATATACTATTCATACTCGATGCTGATACCTATTATAGTTTATAGGCCTATACTATAGACTATAGGCTTAATAATAATAAATAAATATACCTAACACTAATGGCGTGGCTAGGTTGGGTGTCACCCCCCCCCCCCCCTGAAAAAAAAATATATAGCCTATAGGCCCCTAGGCCAATATATATAATACATACATACATACATATGTATATCTATGTAGGCCTATAGGGCCAATATATATATATATATATATATATATATATATATATATATATATATATATATTTGTATTAGGCTTCATTTTTTTATTTGGTGTCACCCTCCCCCCTACCCCAGATGTAGATTGACTCACCCGCCACCCCAGACAAGGATTAATGTGTTAGTTATTACATTACATTTCTAAAGAAAACTTTTTTCCTCAAGCACATTTTGCAACATTTAGTTGGTTCACACTACTTCCCCTGCCCACCTCACTATGCCTCTCCCCTTTACACTCATACACCATTTAGTATAGACCTATGTACTTTAAATTTTACATAGATTATAGATCCTATAGTATGTCCATATAGCCCTACAGCCTACATGAATTGCTATAGAAATAATTCAAATAATGAAATGAGTTTAAAAAGTATGCCTCCTTTAGTTTATCTAAACAACTAATACATGTGTTAGCCTATTGTTTTACTAAATTTAAATTTAGGCCCCACAATAGATGTAATAGGTCCTAGGCCTATATTATAAATTATATTGCTCTATAGACCTTATAAATGTTATAATTAGTATAATAACCAATGTCTAAATTATGAACGTGGTTGATTAGGCCTACTACTATATAGACCCTTTGCTATTATTTATAGGCCTATTATGATTATTTCCATCAAACCAATTTCAGTTTCAGTATTTAAAGAGATATAGCCTTAAAAAAATGTCACTTAGATTTGAAATCTTGTTTATTAAAAATGTTTTTTTTATGTTTAACTTTCTATTAAAAACTCAATGTTTAGCTCAAGCTGTTGACAACCAAACGGCGGTGGCTGTCCAGTCATTGCTTGATTCACAAGTTGTTACAGAAACACAAGGTAGGGGAAGGGTTTGGACTTTAGTGTGGAGGGGAGAGTTTCAGGTAGTTAAAGACAAATTTTTTCTTTTCATTTAAAATTTTTGATCTTGGGAACAGTTAACTACTTTTTTTTAGAAAAATTTAAAGACTTATTTTTTTTTAAATTGCAAATAAAATAATTATTAAAATTAATCAAAGTACTCAATACTTAATGTTTATCAAGCTCAGTCAATATTTTAGAAAGAAATTGCGATTATAAAAATTGAATTTTTGAGGGAGTTAGTAGGATCTACCCACAATAAGCTGAGGTATGAATGTGATGTTATCTTAGTGTTGGTGGGTCTCGCTTTTTGTGATGAAAATGAAGGGGGGGGGGGGGGGTAGAAAATAATTTTTAAAATTTTGACAGCAGATGACCCCTTAGTTCTGTACTGATTTGCTCTCTGAGCATAATTGAACACTAGGTCTTTTTCACTGATAATGTTACAGTATTATTTTTAGTGTAGGAAAAGTCAACACAGGACACCATAACAAAATATCCGAACAAGGAACATGGAAGTTCACCTGTTATAAATCTACTGGTGTAAAATTGTATACTTAAAATTTTTACACCATAACATTTTGAACCATATACATTTTTGTTGTATTCAATCACTCATTACATCATTCCAGAAGAGGAAGAAGATATTTTCCAGTGTGGAAAATGCAAGAAACAGTTCACGTCACTGACAGACTTCTACACCCACAAACAGACGCAATGCAGTCTGCAGCACCAGCTGCAGCAGCAGATGGCCATCCAGCGCCAGCAGGCACAGATGACCATTGGGGCTGGGTCCGGAGCTTTTGCTCCTACAATAAATATAAACCGTGCTTTTTCACACGCACACATCAATGGCACTGTATCTACGGTGAGTTTATCTTCAGTGAATAGACAAGACAAAATCCTAAGTGTTTAAAAAAAAATAAAAAAAAATGTTTTTATAACCTTTCCAGTGAAAAAAAGTTTTTAACTAAATAAATTTTGTATCAAACAAAACAATCCTAGGAAAAAAAGTTGTTTTTCTGAGATCTGTTAATTAATATGACAGGTGAAGTAGAGTTTACCTGGAAAACTGGGGTCAACTAAGCATTGTTTTCCCTGACTTTTATATGAAATTGTCTGCTGGAAGACCTGTAGTCATCTTTCAGAGTTGAATTTTTTATAACTGATGTTTATAATTTTTTTTTGTTACTTTCAGATAAATACTAATGCGCCAATCCTTCAGGCACATCCGTGTTTGACAAGGTCATTGAACCAGCCGGCTAATACTGTAAGTTGTCATTTTTTTATTGGGGTGTTAACTTAAAGGTTTAATTGCTATCTTGTTAAATCTTTTGTTACACTATCATGTGATTTCCTGATGTTATGCTTGTTCTAATATGCGTTTTTTTTAAATGTCCTGTCACAGGTAATACTAGAGATTTTTTTTTTTTTCCTTTTGATGTCCTTTGTAATCCTACAATTTCTTAGGTTATCTTGTTATGTCAAATGTTATCCTATAATGTCTTATGTAATCCTCTAATTTCTTATGTTGCCCTATATTCATCTGTTTGCCTATAATGTCCTGTGTAATCCTATGATTTCTTATGTTATCCTGTAATGTCCTTTGTAAGCCTATAATTTCCTATGCATCCTCCATCCCCAGGCAACCCTGACTTTGAGCAGTGTCCCATCCTCTCCATTTCTTATGTTATCCTGTAATGTCCTTTGTAAGCCTATAATTTCCTATGCATCCTCCATCCCCAGGCAACCCTGACTTTGAGCAGTGTCCCATCCTCTCCATTTCAAATGGTATCCTGTAATGTCCTTTGTTAGCCTATAATGTCCTATGCATCCTCCATCCCCAGGCAACCCTGACTTTGAGCAGTGTCCCATCCTCTCCATTTCTTATGTTATCCTGCAATGTCCTTTGTAAGCCTATAATTTCCTATGCATCCTCCATCCCCAGGCAACCCTGACTTTGAGCAGTGTCCCATCCTCTCCATTGTCCCAGCTGTCTCAGAGCATGGTCTTCACAGATGACATCATGAGCCTTGCCAACCTGGACACTAGTGGACTTGGTGGACAGACCATACAGATGGTCAGTTGTATCAGCACTTTGGTAGTTCTAGTAGTGGTCGAGTCGGTAAAGCTCATTGGTTGCTAAACCAAAAAGTCTCGTGTTCGAACCTTTGGGCAGATGAGGCTTGTTAGTTGGGGACAGCCACTCTTCTAGGAGAGACAACTCCAAAATTAAACAACTGCTGCCTTGTAGTTTGTTCTTGGTTGGACAAAAGCTATGGAAGCAAATCCAAAAAGAAAATCAGGCTGAAATCGGAGTCAATGGCCTCAATGGCGCATAACCAGTTGACACATATACTTAATTGTGTTGGAGGGGATCCCTTCCAACACTAAAATTAAGAACGAGGAAGAAGAGTAGTTCTAGTACATATAGAGCCTTTTTAGATTAATTACTGTTTCAGACTTAAATGGAAAGCTTAAACGCAATAAAATTGAATGATTGTAATTTTTGTTTGTGGCACTAAAATTTGTGATGCCTGTTACCACAGATGACAGGGCCAGTTCATGGTCAGACGGCCAACAGCTCCAACAATGTCACCATCTTCAGCCCCATCACCAGCCTGGCCGCCACCCCCAACAGCTTCACCCAACCAGGCGCCAGCCAGCTGCTGGTCCAGCCCGGTCAGCACATCACCCTGGCCACCATCACGGACAAAACCCTACAGCAACAGCTCCAGCAGCAGCCCATGGTCCAGCAGGTGCAGCCAGCCGTGCAAATGGCGCCACCCCAGCCTGCGGCCACTACCACCATCAGCCAGGTCGTACAGCCCCAGACTTTCAAATCTAGTCCAGTCAAAACAGGTTTGTGTGCTAGCCTTAACAAAAAGTTAAATTAACCCTTTCAAATGTAGTGAATTGGGGTGTTAAGTAGGTCACCAACCAGTTCTATGGCTCATGCAGGTTTTATTGAGCTGTAGAACTGATTGGTGACCTACTTACCAGCCCTATTGTGAGATAGATGAAGTGAAGTTCACCTGTTTCTGCGGTCTTGGCATATGAAGGGATATGTGATAAACAATATTCCCAACCATATAACGAACATATGCTGGTTAATACATACAAGGCTGACATTTTGTATAAAAAGTAAACAAACCAAGTTTCCTACTAAGTAAGCAGGAGTGAGAAATTATATTTTATAGCTGCTATTGAGAACACAAATTAATATAATTTATAATTAGTATATTAAACTTCTATTTTATTTAAACAATATTACATTTATTATTTGTGTATCTACCATTTAATCCAAATTAATGTTAAATATTTGCTGTTACAATATTATATTTAATGGTTTTTGTTCCAAAATAAAATGACATGTTTGTTGTTCTAGAAAACAGTGTGAATCTGCTAAGTACCAGAAAAGGGAAAACTGCCAGAAAGGCTAAAAATAGCCTGGAGATAGCTGAAGAGGCAGCTAACAGTAAACCAAAGTTACAGGTAAATTAGGTTTGACATTGTACACAGTATCAGTAATTAAGAGTGTCTCGGCATTGATACTTGTACTCAGTATCGTAAGTAAGATGTGCCTCTTCTAGTTTTTTATTGCTATAAATGTTTGCCATGTTTTATTTTGTTTTACCTCTTTTAGATCAGAACAAAGCTTCCAGCTTTTTTGGACAAGTTGTTAATCATATATTTAGATCATGATATTGCTGGAGGCAATTTTTTTTTTTAGTTAAAATTAATTTTTGCAGTTTTTCCATATAGATGTTTTTATATTTAAAAAAAAACAATTATAAAACCCCATGCAAAACTGCATTTTCAAACCCACTCATTATCCCTATCTAAACAGTTGCGTCAACAAATATAATAATCTGTCAAAAAAAGTATTTGTTGTAATATTGATCTAATCCATGATTTTGATAGAAAACTGAATCTATTTTTTTTTCTGTGAATGAAAAATAAATTTTTATCATGAAATTATAACATTTTTCCAAACAGAAATGTAATTTTTCCCTATCCAAAGTTAATCATTAAATTTTCACTGTGTTTTCTTTCTCAATAAATAAACCATTATTTATAATCAGTATTTATGTGTAAGGCATTAAATTATAATTAATATACAGAATGTGTAGGTGTTAATTAAATTAGGAAAAAGAGAGTTTTTTTTGGGGCGTTGGTACTAAACTATTGAGGGGTGTGGGTTTAATTTCAGTGGATTGAGTAAATAATTCCAGTTGTAAAGAGTTTTGCTTATAATAAATTGTAAAAGTTATAATTTCTATTACACCAAATAATTCTTATTTTCCTATGCTGAAGTGTGTATGCTGGGAGGGGGGGGGAGGGGTTGTGGCATTACCTTCTAGGTTTTGTCCATCTGCCAATTACAGCAATTATCAGGAAGCTTTAAATTAGATGTGAAATCTATGAGAATAAAAACGTTTACATTTGATTTCAAATTGCTGTAGGAGAAGATTAGTTATGCTGATAAAACTGTCAAACTAGAATCACATTTCAATATTGTTTTTATATAGATAAACAGTTTTTGCATATGCTGACCATGTTGTTTAAGTGACTGAACATCCAGTCTATGCATTTGCTGACCATTTTGTTTAATTCACTGACTATCCAGCCCACATCTGCTATAGTCTATACATCTGCTGACTATTTTGTTTGTGTGACTGACCATTCTATGCATCCCCTGACCATTATGTTAAAGTGACTGACCATCCAGTCTATCTATCTGCTGACAATTATGTTCAAGTGACTGACCATCCAGCCCACATCTGCTATAGTCTATACATCTACTGAGCATTCTATGCATCCCCTGACCATTATGTTAAAGTGACTGACCATCCAGTCTATCTATCCCCTGACCATTATGTTCAAGTGACTGACCATCCAGTCTATCCATCCCCTGACCATTATGTTAAAGTGACTGACCATCCACTCTATCTACCTGCTGACCATTATGTTAAAGTGACTGACCATCCACTCTATCTATCTGCTGACCATTATGTTCAAGTGACTGACCATCCACTCTATCTATCCCCTGACCATTATGTTAAAGTGACTGACCATCCAGTCTATCTACCTGCTGACCATTATGTTAAAGTGACTGACCATCCACTCTATCTACCTGCTGACCATTATGTTAAAGTGACTGACCATCCACTCTATCTACCTGCTGACCATTATGTTCAAGTGACTGACCATCCACTCTATCTACCTGCTGACCATTATGTTAAAGTGACTGACCATCCACTCTATCTATCTGCTGACCATTATGTTCAAGTGACTGACCATCCAGTCTATCTATCTGCTGACCATTATGTTAAAGTGACTGACCATCCACTCTATCTACCTGCTGACCATTATGTTCAAGTGACTGACCATCCAGCCCACATCTGCTATAGTCTATACATCTACTGACCATTCTATGCATCCCCTGACCATTATGTTCAAGTGACTGACCATCCAGCCCACAACCTCATTGTTTCCCTCTCCTGACAGTGTGAGTACTGCAACAAAGAGTTCAGCAAAAACTTTGACCTCCAGCAACATGTGAGGGCCCACACAGGGGAGAAACCCTTTCAGTGTATTGTGTGTGGGCGAGCCTTTGCCCAGAAGTCCAATGTCAAGAAACATATGGCTACCCACAAGGTAGGTTTTTGTTTTGTTTTCAACAATAATTACTAGGATTTGTTGAATATGATGAGAGACCAACAAATATCAATGCTGCTACATTTTTTCTCATAAAATAAAAAACTAAAAAAACTTCCACTGTTACATTGACTTTCTTCTAATTAAGTAGGCCTACATAGATTTTGACAGAATAATTGTCCAATATTTTTATTTTATTTTTTTATTGTGGGGGGGGGGGGGGGGGGGTTAAAAATGGCAAAATTTACTTTACTAATTTCCTTTCGAGTATAGTTTTAGGTATTCTTACACAAAATTTAATTTAAGATATTCTGGAAAAACAATCCAATAGTATAATAATGTATTATTTTTCTGTTGGAAAAGTGCTTAAAATTCTCACATTACTTTTATTTGCTGTGGTTAACAGCTGCCTATCTCTATGGAGTTTGAACCTATTTTAGGTGTGGCCGTGTGGGATATCCAACACTCTTCCTAAACAGCCAGACCCTGTGGTTGAGAACACATGTGAAACATCAGTGTCACCACCCACTGAACCTGTGGCAGTCACCACACCTGTCACAGTGACCTGCACCACTACACCAGTCAGCAGTGACACCCAAAGGCTTCTCAAATCTGCTGTACAAAAGGTAGCAAATGTATTCATTTAAAAATAACGCTCATGTATTGTTGTATCATCATCTTTTCCTGTTATGCCCAAGACTGATGGGGCAGATAAAGTAGATTTCATCTGTTTCAATGACCTAGACATACAAGTATAGTTAGCACTATGCTCAACTGCTTTTCTGTCCATTACATAAGTTAGGTTCCCATCAGAGTTGGGTGGACTCAGGGATGTCCTACAGACTTGAACCCTGGTTAAAAATTATACCTTCACATTATAAGTCATAAACTCTACCATTTGATCATGCCATCACATATCTATGTCAGTATATCTTTAGAAAAAATTTTTAGAATTATATTTTGTCATTTAAGGGAAAAATTTGTTCTAGTTGCCTCATTAAGACCAAATTGTTTTTGTGTCAAAATTCAATGCTTCCAAACTATTACAACTATTGTTATATCACTTATGTGTTTTCAAGACCAGCAAACTTGTATAAACTCTTTGTATTGTTGTATCAGTTCTATTTTTAATCACCAGTGAACTTATCTGTACCCTGTGTATTATTGTCATCAGTTCAGTGTCCTGAAGACCAGCTTACAAGAAGAATCTGAGGAGGATGGCCCCAAGGTCAAGGTGGTGGTGGACAACTCCTACATCTGCCAGTATTGTCCAGCCAAGTTTAAAACCTACTACCAACTCAAGACACACCTGGTCAACCACAAAGGTGAACAGGTAGGCACTGACATCAGAGCTAGGTGGTATGTGATGTGCTAAAGATAGAAGCTGATTTTTAAACCATATTCCATCATTTTACCACCTGACAGCATGTTAGCCATTTATTTAAACTCATTTGCTATTAACATGCTAGATTTTAGAATGCAAGATGGTGCGGAGACCATTACCCATTGAGTTTTTGTTGTATTATTTCCATGCTAAAAGGGCTTCTATGCTCTTCCCACTTGCTAAGTATAGTGTGAGATTTTAAAATACAAACAGGAGTTTTTTAACTAATGTTATTTTAATCTACATTGAAATTTTTTTTAATTATCTGGTTGTTTTTGCTTGAACAGTCACATCAATTTTTTCATAATTTTTAATTTGATTTTAGAAATCAGAAAACAAACTAAATTCTGAGAAGTTTGAGGCATTCACAGTAGTCTATATCAGTTTGATTTTGTGCTTAATTAACTTTCTATTTAATACTTACTCTTAACAATAAAGGAGAGCATCACTGTAAATCAGAGTGTATAAGATGTGCTGACAGTGATCTGTGTATCCCCACCCAGGTGTACAAGTGTGTGATGAGGAACTGCGGGGATTCCTTCCATGACCTGGACACCTTCCTGGAGCACGTCAAGTCCCATGAGAGTGAGATGAGCTACCGCTGCCACCAGTGCCACAAGTACTTCAAGAACCTCTCAGAGCTGGGCATCCACCAGTACACACACATCTACATGAGCCAGGGGGTCAAGTCTGGACTCAGGTCAGTCAAGTCTTATCGCTAGTTTCAATCTGTTTGTGACTGGTCTCAGACTGAAACTGTTTTTTTTATCAGTTCAAACTATGATTAAATCATAAACACATGCTCAATGTTTCTCAAAAAAAGCCAATATTACCCATCTTTTGTTGGTTTAATGACATTATTGCTCAAAATACTACCATGTCAGACCTTTTTAATTCTTTAAGACCGTAACAATGCCCCCAGCATCCAAAACCATTTTCTCTATTAAAAATTTGTTGCTTTGCTGAATCTCAAGTTTTTAATAGTAAATTGAGGTCATGCTTTTGCTAGAGTGGCCATTTTTAGTTGTATTTACCTCATGTATTTTTCCCGTTTGGTTGATTTTGTATTTTATAGAAATTTTTTGTAAAACCACTTTAAAAATGACAATTTTTTAATACGCCGTAGAATCAGCGCCTAAACAGTTACATCAGGGCATAAGAAATTTAACCAAAATTAACATATTTATTCAACTACTAATCCAGTCCATGATTTTGGTAGAAAAATGGACTTTTGTGCTCTCTGAGTAAGAACTTATGAAATATCATTTTTATCCAAATTTTCATTCCAATAGAAGCATATTTTTCCATAGAAAGGCTTTTTTGTCTTCTATAAAACAAAGCATTTTTCATTTTTCAATATATAATTAATTGCTTAAAATTATTATCAGTGTGTCGGATATCCAATTACTATTAATTTATATCAGTAATGTGTAGGTTTTAAATCAACAAATAAGTCGCTTTGTGGGATAGGTACTGAAAAAAAAGGAGGGAAAAAATAGAGTAATATATCGTTGAAAATTTAAAAAAAAATATTGGTTGTAAGATTGAGTGCAAATATTTAAAAAACAAAAATACAAAAGTGTGAGTAATGTGTTTCAGACACTTCCAATGCACCAAGTGTGGCAACAAGTACACCACACCTGAAGCGCTAGAGCACCACATGTCAACCACCAGCCATGACTACAAGTGTCCACACTGTGAGAAGAAGTTTACCTGTGAGCGATTCCTGCGCAGGCATCTGCCAGTACATGGCTCTGAAGGTACTCACCACTTATTTTATTAGGAACTTTATGTAATTATTACTGTTAGAAGTTAGTTATGATTGTGTAGGACAGCCTCCTTTTAAAATTAACAATAGAATGTTTGTCATGCCGAAGTATTTTCAGATTTTTGTGTTGCTAGTTTTAGAGTAACGATAAAATTTCAAGTTGTCTAAAATACATCATTTTTTTCTGTCCTGTCTTAATGTGTATAAGTAGGTCTGGTGGTCATGTTTTAGTGAGAAGTATAATGGGATGTAATAGATGAAGTAGAGTTTATCTGTTTCTAAACCACAGCACCTAAAGGTATAGTGTAGCCAGTACTATGCCCTGCTGCCTATACTCCCTCTAACATGAGTCAGGTACTCATCAGAGCTGGGTGAACTCATGGGCGAGTCCTCCCCCAGTGTTGACAGTAGTGTAGAATAAAATTCATTGGCATTAAGTGTTGTAGGCTTAATTACCTTATAAACATCAATATCACCATAGCTTTCAATGTAAGTTCTCAGTCAAATGAGAGAGAACACTATACTGAATACGTTCTCCTACAGGTCAGTTTGAGTGTCCACAGTGTAAGAAAAGCTTTAAGACTGAACACTACCTCAAGTCTCATATCCTCATACATACCGGTGAAACTCCTTACGCGTGTGATATATGTCAAGCCGCCTTCAACCGCAAGGATAAACTGAAGCGTCACATGACCATCCATGACACAGTTAAAAAGTTCCGCTGTCCATTTAGGTCTATAGCAGGTAAGTTGTTACTTTATTGATACATGACTTAAAGCACATTAAAAAAATGTAATTAAATAGGTGAAATATTGACTTTTTCATGATAGAGATCACTATTCACTCGTGCTCTATAACACAAACCAGTTTAAATATCTAATTAAATAGCAGGGGAGATTATCCACTTTGTTGCTTTATGCATGTCTTGAATAATTGGGTTAGAAACCATACACCTTGTCTACCATGCAAATCTTTTATGTAAAGAAAAATGAAATACTACTTTCCAATTTCCAATACATTTCCTTGTCCCCAGGTTGTACAAAAGAATTTAACCGGCCTGACAAACTGAAAGCTCACATCATAACACACAGCGGCATCAAGCCCTACAAGTGCAGTGTCTGCAGCAAAGGTTTCTCCAGACGCCCCCACTTGGTGGAGCATGAGAGGGGACATAACCTGGACTACAGGTTCAAGTGTGACAAGTGTGGTAAAGGCTTCTTCAGGCCAAAGTTGTTTAACGAGCACAAGTGCCAGCCGTCAAAGTGCGGGGCCGAGCAGCAGTTCCGGCCGAGGAACCGAAGAAAAATTGGCCGGCCCAGAAAAAGATTGATCAGTATCACTCCAGACAAGTTGTCTAAAGCCAGGGGGAAGCAGTATTTGTCTCGCACGAGACTGAAGGGGAAGGCGGCCCAGTTCCCCCCGCCCCTGTCTGGCCCAAACGTGACTGTCAAACAGAGGCTGCAGGGCAAGCAGGCGGGTAAAGATGTGAAGGAGGAAGAGGAGATGGCCAAAGGGTTTGAGGAGGCCAACACTCTCTCTGTGGAGGTGGTCAAGGCCCTACCCCTCATCACCTCCAACAAAAGCCAGGGCATCCTTGACCTTGATGGCTCCCTCAGTGTCCACATCCCTGGGTTGGACGGCGGCAAGCACCGTGACACCCTCGGCCACCAGGTGCAGCAGATCAGCCTGGCCAGGAGCGGGGAGCTGGTTGACCACTACGTCGTCCACCTCACGGAGTCTGTGGACGGGAGTGGGCCCACCATACAAACTGCTTTCATCCCGGCTGTATCTGGGGGTCAGATCTTCACCAGCGTCCCCGGGGGGATCCAACCCATCGCTATCATCGAAGCGCGGTCTTTCAACATGACCTCAACTGACGGTTCAGCCACTCAGGTTTTGACTGCGGATGGCGCTAACGCTATACTTACCTGTACGCAAGGTCACCTGCAAGGTGACCGTCAGGACAATACCACAGGTAGCTACATTACAGTGAGGGACGGCACTCACATTGTCAATGAGATTGGTCAAGTGGTTAAAGCCGAACTTGAAGACAATGGAATGATTATGTTGACTGATGCGGGGGATGCCGGCACCATGATGGCTACTCACAGCGGTGATATGATGATCAGCGCGCAAGGAAAGGTGACCGGTGGTCAGTTGGTGGGGGTGGATACCAAAGACGAGATGGTGACGGTGGAAGCTGGTGGTGACATGATGGACGGTACCTTGTTTGCCCAGAATGTTGGCGCCGAGGGATACGTGGGAGGGCAGGTGGTGGTGTCAGGTGACCAGGCGTACATCACCTGTAATGTGGACTACACCACGGCCGACAATGTTCTGCATGCTGCCAGCTGACATGATGCTGGCAGTGTTTATCCACTGTAAACCTTCTAAAAGTTGACACAATGTTCCAGCCAGCATGACACTATTCACACACTGTAAGCCATCTGACTGTTGACAAGTCATTGGAGGTGTTTATCCACTGTAAACCATCGGACACTGATACCATTTATCCACTGAAACCATCTGACACTTGACATGTCATTGGAGGTGTTTATCCAATGTAAACCATCGGACACTGATACCATTTATCCACTGAAACCATCTGACACTTGACATGTCATTGGAGGTGTTTATCCAATGTAAACCATCGGACACTGATACCATTTATCCACTGAAACCATCTGACACTTGACATGTCATTGGAGGTGTTTATCCAATGTAAACCATCGGACACTGATACCATTTATCCACTGAAACCATCTGACAGTTGATGACACTATTTACACTCTGTAAACCTTATGACAGCTGGCACGAGTAAGACATCATTTACCCCCTACATGACATGGCATTGCTACACATTCTTGCCACAGCTAATCTAATGCTGGAATACCCAGTTGTATATTTTTGCTACAGCAGAAAAAAACATTGTCAAATGCAGTGAAATCCTGCTGTGTAATGAAGTTCTCCACTAAACCTGTATTTTGAACTTGTAAATACTTTTTGTATCAGACCATGTTGACCCTTGTGTTGCAGTACTGACGGTTGTTTATTTATATCCAGAGTTCATGTTGTTCTCTTGTAGTTACCTGCCCCTGTTGTTGAGGTCAAGTTATCTTCCTTTACACTCTAGTCCTCCTGATAAATACTTTACTTGTGTCTTCTTTTTTTGAGAGACTAATTGAGTATGTCAAACAATGAATTGATATGGTGTATACAATATGTATGTAAAATAATAAATATGTGTTAAGTGCTGTGATTTTTGTTTGAATTAATGACTGCAAGAACTCTGGGAGCGGGTTGTGTGTTGTGCCTGACATACGCTGTTGAGCAGGAACGTGCAGGATGTCATCACTCACGAGATTTGCCGAATGACGTCATCACTCATGAGATTTGTAGGATGCCGTGATCAATCTTGAGATTTGTCGGATGACGTCATCACTCATGAGATTTGCCGGATGACGTCATCACTCACGAAATTTGTAGGATGCCGTGATCAATCTTGAGATTTGTAGGATGCCGTGATCACTCATGCAGGATCCAGTCATCATGAGTCTGGGTTAAAGTTGAATAGTAAACCATGACAGTGGAGTATAGACTGGCGTTGCGCGTGTGTACAAAAAGACGCCAGCTTCTTCGTCAAAGCCTTATAAATATATGTGCGTACATACGTTTCAAAATGTACAGCTATCCTTAAAGCTGCCTTGGTATCAATATGTCAGCTTCTCCTTAGGATTCACACATTGTTAATACGATTTTGTTAATGGTTTAAAATTAAGCTACTAGTTTTGAATTATATTGGCAAACAAAAGGTAAAGGAAGGCAGAAGTAAAGATGGGAAAACTATAGAATTTAACACTGGTAGCCAAGGCAGATTAACAAAATAACCCCAAAATCCTCTGGGCACAACGTTAGAGACGAGAAAAGAAACGGTAATGTGTGATTTGTAGAGCGACACAAGAAAGATGAGTAACTAATGGGGACACTTGCTATAAACAAAAATATATCTTTACACATTCGAGAGAAAAATTAGTCTAAAAAATTGTGTAATACGCATTGTATCAAAAGCATATGAGTAGTGCGCTATCCTATGGCAAAGTTGTAGGGGATCGGCAAAGTTTTTTTGTTATATAATAGTGTGAGTCCACTTCGACTATGTTACCCTAGATTAGCTGGCCGATACGTACAACTCCAGAACCCTTCATCAAGATCCGATCGCTGCGCTATTATCAGCTCAATGAATGAATGAGTCGCCGCGCCCATATTGACCGCATGAATGGGATCAAATGGACGGGGGAGAGAGAGAAAGAAAGAAAAAAAACGGTATGCCTGTTCAATTTTATTTTTGCAGAATTCTGCCCATCCCTTCCTCGTTTGTTCTCACCGATCCTTCGTTCGTGTGTATAGACTGGCTCAACAGAATAGGTCCGTGCAATAGGTTGGGTGGAGCGTAGGAGTAGCGAGACTTTGTGAGACTAGGTGATTTATAGGTCTATAACAGGGCGAGTGGTATACCGTAGAAACCAGGCAGTGTGGCAAAGTGATTATAACATAAAAACCAGACACTGTAACGAGGTGATTATAACTATAACATAAAAATCATGCAGCATAGCAAACAAATTATAACAATAACATAAAAACCAGACAGAGTAGCAAAGTGAATTTAACTATAACATAAAAATCATGCAGCATAGCAAAAAGATATCTAAAACATAACAATCATACAGCCTAGCAAAGTGATTATAACATAAAAATCAGACAGTGCAGCAAGGTGATTATAACATAAAAATCATACAGCGTAGCAAAGTGATTATAACATAACAATCATACAGCGTAGCAAAGTGATTATAACATAAAAATCAGACAGTGCAGCAAGGTGATTATAACATAAAAATCAGACAGTGCAGCAAGGTGATTATAACTAAACATAAAAAACCAGACACTGTAGCAAAGTGATTCTAACAATAACATAAAAACCTGGCTTCGTGGCAAAGTGATTATAACTGTAACATAAAAATCCTTCAGCATAGTAACATGATTTTAGCAGAGCTAGTGTCCTACATTAAAATAAAAAGCCAGGCCTCATAGCACAGTCATTATAACAACGAGTACAGTAATAGCCGACAGCATTACGAGATAATCTGAGACTGGACAGTAGAAAGTTAACTAACGGCCTACAGATAAGACTCATAGTTGGGCAGGCAAAGTCCAGAAATGACGTCACAATTTTTTAGCCAATGGGTAAAAGAAAACCCGCTCCCCGACCCCCCCCTCCCCTTCCATCAAATATCGTTACCAAAATTAACTATCTCCACTTCAACTAAAGATATATATATATATATATATATATATATATATATATATATATATATATATATATATATATATATATATATATATATATATATATATATATATATATATATATATATATATATATATATATATATATATATATATATATATATATATATATATATATATATATATATATATATATTTATATTTATAATTCTCATGATTTTTTTCATTATTTATAGCTTATAGTCGAGCTTTTTCTAACGAATGTTGAGTTCTGTAACATAGGCCTACTCTTTATCACCCCCTCCGCTTTACACACTGTCATAACGCCTACAAAATTAATTATCAAAGCTAAATATTTCCAATCACCTCCCAATCATATTTACAAGGCTATAAAAATACTTGAATTTATTTTTTAATTAGAAGTGGGGGCCATCGCTGTGTGGCGTAAGAACCACTGCGGACACAGCCTAGACACTCCCAAATTTATTTTGTAACACGCGCTAGAGACTGAGGTGCGTCATAGCTTGGATTAGTGGGTGCACGAACGTTCGTCGCGTCGGAAATGTCTTTTCATGCAAAAACAATACAGCCGTTGCATTGGGGACGGGGGAGAAAAATCGGAAATGAAAGGATTAAGAGAAGGGGACATAACTCAAATGTCTAAAAATATATATAATTCTAAAATAATTACGTGGTTGTCGTTCTTTATTTGATCAGAAAATGATTCTGTCAATCAGAAATTTCAATAAAAGAAAAAAAAATATGTCGTTGACTTTAATGTCAAACTATAGTGAATTGACTCACTTAGTCGTTTTGTGAACATAAGAAAGAGGGCATTTTGAATACGGGTTAGGTGTCAAACCAACGAATGATAATAACTTTGACAGGGGGCTTTTGATTTGTAATGATCACTGTTTCTTCCATACTTTTTTCTCCGGAGGGGCACTTGAAATTTTCGAGGGTCGGACTAAAATTTTCGAGGTGGGGGTTGTGGGGGGTGGGGGTGGGCGGGCACTGTTAAAAGTATAATATTTTTTATACAAATTCCATTTTGTTCGGAGGGGGTGGGGGGGTGGGTAGGGGGCGGTAGACTCGTTCGGGGGGGGGTGTCTCCGCAATCCCCCCCCCAAGAGATACCTGGAAGAAACTTTAGTAATGATGCATTCTGTAAACCTGGTTAAAGACTTTATTCATCTGGTACAGTGAACGGGTGAAGGTGTGTGTGTGTGTGGGAGGTGCGGGGGGGGGGGGGGGTTGACTTGGACTACGAACATTGGTCCTAAATTAGAATAAGTCATAATTGATATGAAAAGAGCGAAAATAACCAACCAAAGTTTAGTAGATGATAACACATGGAAAATACGGACCCGAGTTTCTTTCATGTAACTCTTCTGGGATGAGGAACTGCTCTACCCACTCTAGCGAAATAGAATTTATAACTTCAACAGTGTCCGCCCCCTCTCAAATTTCAAGTGCCCTCTGGCTTTGGAAAGTTTGAAGTAACCCACCTCCCCTCCCCCACTGGCCCACCTCCCCCACGGAGAAGGAAAAATATCTGAAAGAAACCCTGACAGTGCTAAGCGCGGTGTAAGCGATGCCTGTTCACAGCATCGATCCTTGTTATCGTATTTCTTCTCTTGCGCTATCGTTATCGTCCACGTATATTAATCAGACCTTACTATTACCACACCCTCCTACTCATTATCCACCAACCCCACATCAACCTAATCATCCTCCTACACATCAACCTCCTCATCATCAGTGTTTCTTCCAGACATTTTTTTCTCACCAGGGATGGTGGGGGGGGGGCACTTTAAACTTTCGGGGAAGCGGACTTACATTTTCGGTTGGGACGGAAACTGGCTAAAGAATATATATTTATGTATCTATATATATAATTCTCTTCTTGGATACCCTAGAAAACACCAAGCTGTAAGCGCGCCTAGCAGCCCCCTCTCTCCCTCTCTAACCATATCCCTACCACCCCCACCCCCACATGGTCTGGTGAGCTGTGGTTCACGCTAAATGTTTACAATCGTAGAGCCGGGTTTAGTGACGGCTATTAGGGGCAGATAGTTTAGTTTGAAACGATTTTAAACTTAGGGCAGGTAACTAAGAGGCGGCTGCTTTCACGGGGGGGGGGGGGTGTTAGGGTAGGGGTTGGGGGAAAGAAGGGTGGGGGTGGTTATCGTCTTTAACGACCTACTGATAGTATTTTAAAGGAAATATTTTCATTGGCAGCATTGGTACTGTCGAATTCACAAATTATGAATTACTGGAATGTAGATAATAAAA